ATGGAGCCAAGATTTCACCCTGATTTTAAACCCTGAAAGGAGAGAAAATTCAGCATTTAAATTCCCACAACAGTCTTAATTCTAACCCCGCTTGCACACATGTATTATGCGGAGTCCTGGAGAACTCCTAGTGACCTGAATGAGAACGTCACACAGAGAAGGGCTGACATGACGGGCCCAAGTTAGCTGGGTATTGCATTTCATGATTAATTAAAACTGGGTACTGATCTGCTCTAGGCACCAAAGGTGAAATGCTGGCCTTAGTGAAGTCAATGACAAAACTTCTGACTTTAATGAGTCCAGGAATTCATCCTAAATATTTATTATACAGCTCTGGGATAACTAACGTATGGAAGGGGAGGACATACTCTGACTGGTTCTACCAAAGTGTGTGGCTTTATTAAGCAACAACAACAACACTTAAATGCTGATAAACTGTCACATTTTCTGGTAAAAATTGAACACCAATAAACTGTACAATGCTGTTTCTATTCAATCCTTAGTGAGTGATGCACCTGCACTGGTATTGATCTCACTGTGTGCAGGGGTACACATTTTAACAGTGCACAGAGGGTGTTATTTCCTAATGACAAATAATAGGAACCTTCTTAAAGGGGAATATGCTTTTGTGGGCAAAACCCTGCCCTGAGGAGATGAACTGTGTGGTGGGAATGGGAGGGACGATAAGAACTAGTATCATCTCTGTGTTTGGCACTAGAGCCATTCTGCTGGGCAAAGGAGATGATCTGCCAGGTTTAAAGAGGAGCAATGTGTGTCTCCAGGTAGGATGTGCTTCTAGCTGAAGGCATGATCATATCCGTAGGCAAGAGACCACACTCTTGGCAGGCTGTGGACCTGCTAGCACTCTCTTGAGCACTATGTAGGAATCCTGCACTGCTCCTGTGAGAGTGCGCCTGGGGAAGAAGAGCTGGGGTCTGAAATCTGTACTGCCACACAGGAAACCCATATTAGTGAAATAAACATTTACCATGTCTTGGTGCCTGGTGATCCTTCTTGGTGCCTGGTGATTTGTGATGGTATCAAGACAGACTCTTAGTGCAAACCCCTTGCCTGCCCCTCCACAAAGGGCCATGACTCAGTGGAACCAGTGCAGTTCTGGGGCAGAATGAGGGAGGGCCTGACTTCAGACCATGCTAAGGTTATGTGCCCGCAGAGAATCCTAGTTCCCAAGAATGCAAAGAGTGTTTGAGGAGCAGGGCAGGCTGGTGGTGCTGTGAATGCAGATACCCCGGCAATTCACCTATGAGGCTGCAGCAGAGGCTGCAGAGGCACATATGATGCCATAGTGAAGCCTGATTCCTTCCTCCAAGCCACCGCCAAAATCCCTAGCATGCAACTTTCCAGAATTTAGCCCATAAAGTATTTGTACAAGGGGACAGAATTAAGTTTCACAGGGGAATCTTAATTCTAAAATTCCTGAGTTTAAAACTGCAAGCACATTAAATATTGTGTGGACACAGTTGTTTGCATTGAATGTATTCAAGCAAAGCAGTAGCTCAGGGTGCATGGGGATAGCAGGATTAAGACATGCTTTTATTTAGCATCAAAAGGAAGGAGAATATGGGCTGGAAATTTGCTAAATCCTAGTGAAACACAAATCTCTCCAGTAACAGCAAAGGAAATGCAAACAGCCCTGGCTTGATCATTTTCTTTTAGTATAATTTTCTCTTTTTTCCCCAGTTTTTCTCCAGTGCAACATTAGCCTTACAGGCAAGATTGAAAGTCATATGAATATGCTCCTATTCAAATTAATGGTATTGCAAATTGCTGTATTCTTTGGTTGTGTGTGTTTAATGCTGTTTGGGCTGTTTGTGTAATATTCTACATCAATTGTTCAATTTCTGCAAAAATCCATATAATATTTCATTTGTAATTGGATGTTAGAAATTACTATAGTCTCTGAAGTAGAAGATAAACTACAGTTGTTTGCAGGAGTTCTGCACCACCATCCTTATTAGTGCTAACTGAAGAGGTTTCCTGGAGGTCTGACACCTGCATCTGGCTGGGGTGCTTTTGTGCAATACAGCTTCACAGGAAATAGAGAGTCACTCTAGACAATCATTTTAAGGTAATTACATGGAAATATACTGTAGAAAACTAAAAATAAATAAATAAATCCCAGAATTCTTGCCATTAGTGCTTAAAAGGAAAAACGATGAATTACAGTGATTTTTTCTTTAAAAAAATCACTCAACCAACTATTTAGAATGAGTACAATTATACAAAGACATTATTAAGTAACTCGGTCTATGCTGAGATTTAGTACTTAGACTTTTTTATGATGGATTGGCCATGGACACATGATTGGCAGCAGTGGCTCTCCAATTAAATAAAGGACAAGTACACAGGACCCAATTTGTGCGTTTATGCAGTGGAGTGGTAATGATTTTACCTGGCAGTGGAGTATTTTAATATTCAGCTCTCTATTCAATATATTCAAGTACTTGGTACATGTTTTTGTATTTAATGTGTTCTCATTTGTTTTGGAGTGCGTGGATCGTAATTGGGTTTATAAATTGTGTCTTTTTTTTAAAGAGTCAAATTCTCTGCTGCTGTAACTCCATTGAGTTCAGTGGAGTTACACCAACAGAGATTTGGCCAGACAACTCCGTGATAAAGAAACAATCTAATGAAAAGACACTGCACAGATACTTACCAAAAAATGCCATTCACTTCAATGGACAGACCCTGCAAAACAGAATGAACAAAATAAGCATTTTCTTTTCATCCCAATACCCCAGATATTTGCAGCCACACATTAACCTCTCTTAGGACATAATTCTGTAAAATTTGTGAGGGGTAAGGACACCGAGCATCCCGAGGAGGAACTCAGCGCCTCACAGGATCAAGTACTTCATTTGATCTATATATTCATTCTTGCAGGCCAGACAGACAGAGGCTCGCATAGGCCACTATTTGCTGCAGAATCCACCCCTTGGCAGATTTGTTCTCCAGACTCAGAGTTTTCATCTTAAAAAAAAAAAAAAAAAAATTGTTCACAGCTGGTATGTTTGCAAAGAAAACCTTAAAAACATGCACCAAATGTAAACCAGTGTTGGTTTGCTGAATCTGCAGGCAGATGGGGACATACACAACCTTCAGAGCTACTTTTCCCATTAATTTCAATGGATCATCGACTCTGAAACTCAAAGCAGACATTTGAATATCAACATTGTCAGTTTTTACACGGTTGATCATTTTAGCAGATCGTCCAGTTAATATGTATATCCCACAATACCCAGATGCATTCTATGTCCTGACTGCTAAAAATGAATTCTATTTAATATTGCTATAAATAACAGTGAGTTTATTGTACTGATGTATTATTCAAGTTCATATTTTGTTCAGAACAAATCTCTAATTTTAAATTTAAAGGAAACTGTTGTACAATTTCCAGTCTGTCATACCAGAGAGCTGCAGAAATTGGCATAGAGGGAGGGGATACAGAATGTAGGTCCAGTCTGCTGCACAGTACACAGGGCCTTGCATAAAGGGTCATCTATTATTGCATGGAAAAGGAATTAGTAATGGGGGGGCCAAAGTGCATTGTTCAGAAAAATGTACATGCCACACTTTTCCTAATTGCTGATACTGAAAACAGCATGCTAATTGTACATGGCTTTATTTATTTGATCCTAAATCCAGGAGCAAGGTAAAAATGTATAATAAAGTTTACTGGTACTTTTCCCATCATGCTAATGTTGAATTATTGAGAAGCCATTTGACCTATAAAACAGAAATGCACAGCACTCGTTGGAAAGCTTCCAGAAGCTATTTATTATTATAGCACAACAGCTAGAACAACAAAGCAAACCTACTACAAATGATGAAAAAATTATTTGGGGAAATTACAAAGAAAGAAAAAAACAAGAGCTAACTATCTCATAGGGTGTACATTTATTGCTCCATGACACATCATAATTAATTATACTGTCCTCCACAGATATTTCTCTTAATATAATCCTCTGCTAGGACTGGTGGTAAGAAAGAAACTCTATATTTCTCACCTGGTTTTATCATAGGCCCATAGCTTCATTTTCTAAGTATTGTATCCTGCATTACTGAAGGCAATGGAACTTTAGTTGTTGATTTCAATGACAGCAGGATTAGGCCCTAAATTTTAAGCCTAATACTAGTGAATTGGTTTCCCTCTGTTCTTAATACTGTTTTTCAAATGAAACTTTTGCCCATGTAGTAGCTATTACCCTAATGGTAGAAAGATCTATATATGCTATAGATATTCCCATTGTAATGCTTTATTGCGAGGTAATTCCATTTGGCTCTACATTTTTTTTTAAATGTTGTTTGTTTATTTCTCAGATAAGATTTTTTCCATTAATTGCATTTTAATATGCATTTGTATATTTTCTTAAATTGGTTTTTTTTTTTTTGGTCTCAGAATAGGATACAGAATTTTCCTTGACTTCAGCGCTGCTTTTTCCTTTCAACCTATACAATTTAAATATTCTAATATAATTGTAATGATATGGTAGTTCTTACAAATGACTAACGGCCCTCTGTATTATATTAAAGATTTTATTAAACCCTCAAGCATACCTATTCTAACCACCATAACTAGCAATATGTTTTATAAAAATATTGCTGTCAATTATGTGAATTTATGAAATTGTGTTCTAATTGCCCATTACCTCCTGTAATGATAGTTACTGTCAAGAAATACATTCCTTTTTATTGCTTCCTTTTTTATGTGAACTTGTGCTCTATCATTACATAGTACTGGATGACATTTTAAGATTCTTTGATTGGATAGGAACATTTTTGTATATATTGTTATAAATAAACATTTAAAAAAAAAAAAAAAAGATGGTACTATATCTTTTGTATTTCCTGATGCTGAGAGAAGATATTTAAAAGCCTTTGCAGGCCAGCCAAACAAAATATTTAAGCTAATTGTGCAGCTGATCATATGTTTATGTTTTGATTAGTATTCATGCAGATCAAAATTAAATGGTGGAGTTGCTCATTATGAACAAACCTTGTTCTCCTCTTTCTAAGTACAGCTCTCTTAACACAGTACAAGCAGGTCCTTTTAGAGGGCTGAGAGAGAGCTGGCCCTGTTTTCCCAAATCCTGGGAGCACAATTTGAAAACCTGTAAGTACAGAGAAAATAAGCCCATTTGTTTGGTTTTCAGGCATTACCAATATATACTCAATCCTGTCTGTCTTTTACTCACATATGTATTTTATCTAGTGCAGTGGTTCTCAACCCGTGGCCTGCGGGGCACTTGTGATCCAATCAGCACACAGCTGTGGCCCAATCAGCACACAGCTGTGGCCCATGTGACATCCTCAAGGCCATACAGCTAGTACATATATTGTCTGGATGTGGCCCACGTAACACAGAGAGAGCTGCATATGCGGCCCACAATGGTAAATAGGTTGAGAACCACGGATCTAGTGGCTCGAGCACAAGTCAGAAAGACAGGATTCCTGGATTCTCTTGCCAGCTCTGCAAATGACTAGTGTGTGTGATGTTGAACACAGCTCGTAATTTCGATGCCTCTGTTCAGGGCTGGCTTTAGGACCTGCGGGGCCCGATTCCACGGTCCGGGTCTTCGACAGCATTTCGGCGGTGGGGAGGATGGGGTTTGCTCCGCGTCTTCCGTGGCACTGAAGGACCCCATGCCGCCAAAGACCCCGGAGTGGACCCCACCCCCCGCTGAAATGCCGCCGGACCGGGCCACCGCCGGGTGAGCCTAAGGTGCGGGGCCCTCTTAGGCACGGATGCGGGGCCCTCTTACCCATGGGGCCTGATTCCGGGGAATTGGGGGAATCGGCCTCAAGCCGGCCCTGCCTCTGTTTATCCATCTGTAGAATGGATCAGGGCCGGTTCCAGGCACCCAAGCTGGTGCTTGGGGCGGCACCTGGAGGGGGGCGGCGCGGCGCTCTGGCCGCCGGGGGGAGAGCGGAGCCCCCATCGGGGCTTGCCACCCTCGCCCCGGGGCTCCGGCCGCCCTCCCCCCCAGCGCCCTCCCCCCGGCCACCGGGGGGAGAGCGGAGCCCCCTCCGGGGCTCGCCGCCCTCCCCCTGTGGCCCCGGCCCCCCCCCCCCCCCACGGGGGGCGGGGGGGGGCAGCCGGAGGCTTTTTTGCCTGGGGCAGCAAAAAAGCCAGAGCTGGCCCTGGAATGGATATAATAATACCTGTTTCACACAGGTGCTATGATATTCAGGGGCAGGTTCTGCACTGTGGTCAGGCCTCTTTGCACTATACTGCTGAAGTTCAACAGCCCCAAGCACATGTTGCTTGCCATTGCAGGTAGTTCTGACATGCTAAGAAACTGGACCAGTGCATAGCCATCCTAGCATAGGGAAACACAAAGATGACTTACAGTCCCATTTGCACAGATGCCCTCCAGGGCTGCACTGTATGCTGCCTGCCATGGGTAGGTGGGCATTTCTGGGAAGGTATTGCTGACAGAGGTGTGACGGGGGCAAGAGGGAGGAAAGAGGGGACTCTCAGCTGGCAAGCTCAGAATGTTCACTGGTGGGAGCAAAATGTTGGCTCTGAAAGCCAAAGGATGATGAATGACAGGTGTCAGAGTTGACAGTGCACCAATTGCAGCTGCACCCATGATGGCACACATTCAGTTGAGTGTGAATGGATTCAGGCTTATCCCAGATACCACTATACAATTTTGGAGTAAATTAGGCCTTGTCTACACAGGGATTTGGCCCCATTTACTGCCACAAGTGGCTAGTTTATATAGGAAAAGCCCTCTAAGTTATGTTTTGCAGCTTACCAAGTTTCTGTAGTTTAGACCAGTAACTCCTGCGGAGGGGCTCATGGCAGCTACAGATCAAGGGGAATAATATACTGTGCAGCCATCTTTCCCTTCTGTGCAGCCCCATGACACATTTTCCACTGTTTTTTCATGGTTCTGCTGCCCTCCACCCCCTGCAACATAAGAGAGCATATACTCTCTTATTTTACTACCCCTCAGCTTCACAGGCAGATAAAATGGTGTAGGATACCAGAGTATTTAAATTCACTACTTGAAGACAGCTGGCTCATGTCTTTAAAAAGGAGTTTTGTTAATTATACTTTTATCACATACTTGTGCTTTTTCATTGATCTGGTTAATATTTCACTGATGTGCCAAGCACAACATTTCATTGTCTTCAGTGCTAATTAGAATAGCATTTCCTCTCACTCTCAATGTATTTATTTGGAATATTCAGATATAAATTGTAATTAAATTTATGTACATTATTTTCCAATTTACTGTGTAGAGGGAGAGAGTGTGGTCTCAAGCCCAAGCATCAGGCACCCCTGAGTGTTAATCCTGCCTTTCACCTGACTCATGCTATGTCACTGGGCAAGCTATATCACCATTCTACTTCAGTTACCTCATCTGAAATGTAAAGTGAGGCTAATACTTTCTTGCTTCACAGGGCAGTAGTGAGGATTAATTAGATAATGTTGCAGCACTGCTTGGACCTTGGAAGTGTTATAGACATGCCAAGTTATCATTCATTATTATGCTCACAGGCTAAAAGACTGAGGACAGTGCATATGATGCAGCTCCAACCGAGGGAGAAGGCGGTAAAGCAACAGAGCTGGACTTGGTGGGAAAATTCTTACATCAATTCCATATTATTTTTTCTTTGTACCTACAGTTCAATAGCCTATTCTACAGAGATTCTACCTAGCTGCTAAGGCATTTCTAAAATACCTATCATTTCAATAGTTAAGATGCTAATCTTGCTATCAAATTTCCACGACTAGACCTCACGCCTTCATGGGACCCCGTTGATTTCAACAGAGCTCCACACAAGCAAACTAGTTCACCTCCACAGATTCAATTGCATGACTGGGACCTTAGTGTATATTCTGTCTAATCTAGCTGTCATTTATGCCACACACATTGTGGTGATATATATATGGATAAATTGCATTTAGCTCATCCCTTTGGCTATATCACCTGCACTCTACCCACTAATCTATCTCAACCTGGGCTACCTGAAGAAGAGCTTTCTTGTAAGCTCGAAGCTTGTCTCTTTCACCAGCAGAAGTTGGTCCAATAACAGATATTACCTTACCCACCTTGTCTGGACTGTTTCTAACATTCCAAATCTCTAAGCAGCTTCAAATAGCTGCCATTACACCATCAGAAAATGTTTCCTTCACTCCATGCCCTTCCCCTCCAAAACATGTAAATGGGGAACATGGGAATCCTCCTTTGCACAGGGATACAGCACTAGTTTCAAGCACAGGCGGTTCTGGAGGTATCAGACCTTAAAATCACAGCATTTGATGTATAGAAAGGCTATTTTCAGCCAGTTTCCTACACATACATTTTCTAAAAGCTATTTGATATGGGCTGGGATTTTCAAAGGAGCTTAAGCAAGGTAGGTGCCACCTCCTATTGAATTTCAACAGGAGTTCACTGCCTAGCTCATCTAGGCTCCTTTGACATCCAAGTTATAATTTTTATCTCCCTCTGAGGCCTTACAGTTAGACACAGGGTAATTAGTCAATCTGACTTGACACACAAATGGATATAAAAACACAGCACCAATACAAATGTTAATACTCTGTCAAACATTTCTAAAATAGGGTTGGGAGTATCTTTTGGAAAATATATGACAAATCCAATTCTATGAGATGGAGTGATGATATATCAAGATTTTATTGGCATTGAAGAGAGGCAGAGTGGCATCCCTCTAAGCCTGGTCCTGACCGACCACTACACTCTCCCTGGTGGGCTTAGCCAAACCAGCCCCGCCCCTCCCAGAAGTGCAGGGGCAGGACAGGAAGTATAAGGAGAGGGCCTTACAGCTCAGTTGGGGCTGAGCCAGGGAAGGAGGCAGATGTCTCAAGTCCTCTGTGGGACTCTGGACCAGACCCCTAGCCATCCATGCCTTGTCACCAGAGGTAACCGAGGACAAAGAGATGTTATTGGGACTACCATCGGCCGTCTACCCAGAAGTTACTAAGGACAAGTGAAACTGTGCCAATGGATGGCAGTTAGGGTTGCCAACTTTGTAATCTCACAAAATTGAACACCCTAGCCCCACCCCTTCCCCGAGGCCTGCCCCTTCCCCAAGGCCCCGCTCTCACACTCACTACATTCCCCCTCCCTCAGTGGTGCACTCTCCCCGCCCTCACTCACTTTCACTGGGCTGGGGGAGGGGGTTGGAGAGCGGGAGGGGGTAAGGATTCTAACTGTGGGTGCAGGCTCTGGGATGGGGCCAGAAATGAGGGGTTCAGGGTGTAGGAGAGGGCTCTGGGCTGGAGCAGGGAGTTGGGGTGCAGGAGGGGGGTGAGGGCTCTAGCTGGGGGTGCGGGCTCGGGGGTGCGGGTGGGGATGAGGAGTTTGGGGTGCACAAGAGGGTTCCAGACTGGGGGGTGGGGACCAAGGGATTCGGAATGTGGGAGGGGGCTGTGGGTTGAGGCAGGGGGGTTGGGGTGTGGGAGAGAGTATGGTTTCTGGGCTGGGGGTGCAAGTTCTGGAAAGGGGGCCAGAAATGATGGGTTTGGGATGTGGAGGGGGCTCTGGGTTGGGGGGGGCTCAGGGCTGGGGCAGGGGGATGGGGGTTGGGGGCACGGGCTTACTTCGGGCAGCTCCCGATCGGTGGTGCAGCGGGGCTAAGGCAGGTTCCCTGCCTGTCCTGGCTCTGTGCTGCGACCCAGAAGCGGCGAACAGGCCCAGGCTACTAGGCGGCGGGGGCCAGGAGACTCTGCGTGCTGCTCTCGCCCGCAGGCACCCAGCTCCCATTGGCCAGGACCCACGGCCAATGGGAGTGCGGAACCGGTGCTCGGGACAGGGGCAGCATGCGGAGCCCCATGCCCACCCCCCACCCACCTAGGACCCGAGCCTGCTGGCGACTTCCAGGGCGCAGCGTGGTGCCAGGACAGGTAGGGACTAGTCTGCCTTAGAGCCGCAGCACCGCTGACTGGACTTTTAAAGGCCCGGTCGGCAGTGCTGACCAGAGCTGCCAGGGTCCCTTTTTGACCGGGCGTTCCAGTTGAAAACCAGACACCTGGCAACCCTAACTGCAGTAGGAAGTAGCCTGGGGAACCAGACATTAGTCTGGCTGTGCTGCTGGAAAGCAAGTCAGTGTGTTTCGGTGGGATCTCCGCTGACTC